ACCCCAGGTGAGGAGGGGAAGGCTGGGTGGCGCTGGGTGGTTCTGGAGTTGATCAGGCAACTCAGACTCCTCCAAATTAGTTGGCCAGCTGCTAGAAAATCCCTTTTCCTTCCTTCCACCTGGACACAGCCCTGCTGGCACCGAGGAGGCGCTGAAGTGACGCAGGGAAGAAGACAGAACAAAACCGTAGAGCCAGCAGTGAGGTCATTTATTTACACAAAGTGCAAAAGAGAGTACAAAACCCTACTTATATACTGACAAAGGTTTAAGCAGCAGTGTTTCTCAAGTATACAGAATACTGAGCCAGGGCAAAACAGGGAAAGTCCCCCAAAGTCTCTCCCAAGCTAGGCAGCTTGTGGGAGGCTGGCTGAAACTAAGCCCTGACTCTTGACTTTTCACAGTTTGGTCTCGGCCTTATTGCGAACGCCCTGGGGCCTGATTCCCTCCATTTCCTTAAACAGCTCCTTTACACCACTGCAGAATGGGGGTAAGGCTGGGTTTGCACCTAACAATCGGATCGACCCAGCTGCATCGCTCAGGGCTAGGAAAAATGTCACACCCTGTGCACCGTAGTACCATCGACTGTAGATGTAGCTTGACAGAAGAATTCTCTCAGAGAGGTGGATCAAATGCACCCACGGCAAAATTCCTTCTGTCGCTGTCAATGAGACTAAAGCTTCCGAGAGAGACAAGGTGGGGGAGGGAATATCTTTTATCCTGGGACCGACATGGGACACGCGACAAGGGAAGATACCGAATTTTGCCGTCTCTATGGAAACGCTACAATATGAAGAAAAAGGAAGCCAAGCTTAAAGAAGTTGTTGGGTGACGGGACGGATCACTTGATGATTGCCTGTTCTGCTCTTTCCCTCTGAAGCACCTGGCATTGGCCACTGTCGGAAGACAGGATACAGGGCTAGATGGACCATTGGTCTGACCCAATACGGGCCGTTCTTATATTCTAAGTTGGTCCAATAAAAGAGATTACCTCCAGGTTCTAAGACACTTGGATGGGAGTTTCAAAAGCATCTGTCTAAAGGCTTTTAAATGAGTGGATACCCCTTTCAGGAACAAATTCCTGATGAGGTTCATCAGCCCATCACCTCTAGAAAGGAGAGATCGGGCTCTGCTGGGTCGGACACAAACACATTAAGAAATAAATACAGACAAGGGCTGCATTTAAGCATGCGGCAGTAGGAAGCCCCAGCCATTCTGCTCGGATGTCGTATCCCTTTTCCCTGGCATCCCGTTTGTGGCTGTGAGGTTCTCTGGGGTGGTGGACGAGTCTTACTGAAGTTTGTTTGGACAGCAGCCAGCAAAATGGGGACCCTGACCTTGACTGGAGCCTCCGGGTGCCCCTGTGATGTAAATATCCTCAGAGAAGGGATCAGCAGCAAGTCACTCAGCGGCATCATTTGCGCCCCGGCCACCAGCACCCAACGTAGCACGGAAGAGTCAGCTCTGCATTGCTCTTCTCCTGGAGCAGCCCTTCAGCAGCAAGGAAACGCTTCATTCAACGGTAGCCCGGAGTCTGGAACTCGCCAGCCATCTTATCGGCGCCCTGCAGGTGGTGCTGTCACGTTACAGCAGCGCAGACGACCGCGGCAATGACTGGGCTCCTTCCGTTGCAATATATGCGGATAGCGCAGCAGCAAAAGCAGATCGCAAGTCCGACAAGCCTGGCCTGACCAGTCCCACGCACGTCAGGCACCGCGCGCCGCGGCCCGTCGGCTTTTCCCTAGCCCTTCGTGTGCGCATCGCGTTGGGCGCAGATCCAGTTGCGCAGCGTGTGGCACCACGAGGAGCCGACAGCCTTGTCGTTCAGATAGGCACAGTTGCCGTGGGCTCGGATTTCAAACCTGCAACACAAGTGCCGTGGGGCCGTGAGTCCCGGCTCCGCATTCTGGGTGGCGCAGCAGATGAAAGCAAGTAGCAACGGGGCCTTAATTACCCTGCTCTCCACTGCTCTCCCCCCTGCTGCATCTGGGCCCAGCATCCCCTTGTGATTGGTTTTAATATCAAATTCTGTTCATTTCATGATGTCCTCCCATGTGGAGCATGCAGCCCTGGGGTTAGCACTGGTTTGTCCCTAATGCAGGCAAAACGTCAGGCCGGATGGAGATCAGACCATAGGTAGGATGTTTCCAGCCCATCACACTATTTAGTCTGATTGTACCTTCTGTTGCCCCCAACCCTTGGTCTGTCTTGTCTAGTTAGACTGTGAACTCTTTGGGGCAGAGACTGTCTCACTGTGTGTCTGTGCAGCGCCCAGCACAATGGGGCCCTGATCTCAGCTGGGGCAGGGACTGTCTCTCCCTGTGTGTCTGTGCAGCGCCCAGCACAATGGGGCCCTGATCTCAGCTGGGGCAGGAAATGTCTCTCCCTGTGTGTCTGTGCAGCGCCCGGCACAACTGGGCCCTGATCTCAGCTGGGGCAGGGACTGTCTCTCCCTGTGTGTCTGTGCAGCGCCCGGCACAACAGAGGCCCTGATCTCAGTTGGGGCCTCTGGGTGCTACCATAATGACAACGTCAATACTACTACTAATAATAATAAAAGGTATCTTGGGCCAGGTCAGTTACATGGGGTACATCAGCCAATAACGTTGCTACAACAGTGCAAACAAACGCCCACGTACAGAAGACCTAAGATCCCCTCAAAGCCAGCTCCATTAAACAATGCATCGCCCCCCAATCCCGCACCGAATAGGAGTTCCAAAATACCATGTCCAGTCTTTTTAATGCCAGAAAAAGATTATCGGTGGTTTTGTCTTCCAACCAAGCTTAGACTGGTCCAGATTCAATGCTTATTCGAGTCACATGCGTCCCAACACTTAGAAAGAGAGAAGACTCACAGGTTGTTGAATTCTGAACCATTCACCCATTTCCACGGCTCGCCCTCTTCCCTCCGCAGGCCGATCCAGTGCTCGGAAAGGCCTTTATAGCGCAGCATGAAAGCCTTTGGGTAAAAGAAAAAGAAAGACGTTATTTCTGGGTGGGTCCTTCTCACTCTCTCCTGCTGAAGCTGTTCCACATTGTATAGGACACCTGAATAGTCGCTGGGGCCGAGAGTGAGTGAGGTGGGTTAGTGCACACACCTGGGAAGAGACCCAAGTTCAGGTCCCTGATCCAGGCCCATTTTGTAGTCTGGAGGCGTCTCACCTTTTCAGGCAGGGTGTCGATCGTAGCCAGGGAGGCGCCGAAGGAGGAGCAGTTGCTCTGGCTGAAGGTCCAGTTTCCTTCGGCCTCTGAGAAATAGTAACATTTCCCCAGGTACCCGACCCAGCCGTCAGGGCACCAAGGGACAGCAGGGGAGCGTGGAGGATCAAAACCAAGTTTCAGTACTACCCCTGGGGGAAAAGAGAGACAGTAACAGACACAGGGTGACAGAGACCCATTTGTTCCTGTGCAATTACACGCAGCAGTAAGAATTTCACACACACGCTTTCCCCAAGATTAACCCAGCCCATCCTGTGCCCAGCACTCAGATCTGTATATCTCATGGGTGAATGCCCACTTCGCATAAGCTTTCGTGGGTGAATGCCCACTTTGTCAGACGAAGTGGGCATTCACCCACGAAAGCTTATGCTCCAATACATCTGTTAGTCTTAAAGGTGCCACAGGACCCTCTGTTGCTTATTTCATCAGGTGACCCCTAGTTCTTGTGTTATGGGAAGGGGTAAATGAGACGTTCTCCGCACCAGCCATGATTTTACAGGCCTCTCTCATCTCCCCCCCCGTCGTTGTCTCTTTTCTAAGTTGAACAGTCCCAGGCTTTTTTATTTCTCCTCGTACGGAAGCTGTTCCATTCCCCTCATCATTTTTGTCGTCTCTGCACCTTTTCCAATTCCAATATAGCTTTTTTGAGTTGAGGTGAGCAGAACTGCGCACCGTGTTCAAGGCGTGGGTGTACCACAGATTTACTGAGTGCCATTTATGATATTTTCTGTCCTATTATCTCTCTCTTTCCTAATGGTTCCTAATATTCTGTTAGTTTATTTGACTGTCGCTGCACATTGAACGGATGTTTTCAGAGAACTATCCAAGATGACTCCACGATCTCTTTCTTGGGTGGCAACAGCTAATTTAGACCCATCATTTGGTATGGGCTTTTTCTAATGTGCATTACTTTGCACTTATCAACATTGTTGAATCAGTAGCGTAGCTAGCGGGGTGCAGAGGAAGCAGCCGCTTCCCCTCAGCACACTTTGCAAAAGCGGCACCTTTCCAAAAGTGGCCGGTGGAGCGAGGGGGGGCGCGGCCGGAGGAGCGAGGGGGCGCAGGCTGGCTGTGGCCCGGCAGTCGCGGCCGGAGGAACAAGGGAGGGAGGGGGC